AAAGAGGAAGAAAAGGTCAATGCTCACGTTTTGGCTACCAATTTGGAATTTCTTTTTTAAGTTCATAGGGAGACAATGGTCTTGAGACTGTTGAAGATTTTCTCAATTCCTTAAGCTCTCCTTTATGTATTAAGAGCTATGCCTGTTTGACTTTGGTTTATTAAAAGTCATAGGTAGCACGCCTGTAATCCCAGCACTTTGGGAGATTGAGGTGGGCAGATCACTTGAGGTCAGGAGTTTGAGACCAGCTTGGCCAACATGGTGAAAACCTGTCTCTATTAAAAATACAAAATTAGCCAGGTGTGGTGGCATGCATCTGTAGTCCCAGCTACTCGGGAGGCTGGGGCAGAAGAATCACTTGAACCAGGGAAGCAGAGGTTGCAGTGAGCTGAGATCGTGCCACTGCACTCCAGCCTGAGCTATGGAGACTCCATGTCCAAAAAAAAAAAAAAAAAAAGTCATAAGAACTCAGTAAGAACTCAGTAAATGATGTCAGGGAAGTTCCTGATCCATGGGAAGAAAAGGGAAAGCCTGTCCCTGCTGGCCCCAGTGGATTATGTGGTAAAAGAAGGGGTACAAAGTTAAGAAGCAATTGGCGAGACAAGTGTATTCTGGTTACTTCTTTCCAAGTCCATGTGAGACAGGAGGGTAGCAGAAACTTCATAGTAAGGTCACAAACAGGGTAGAGTTTGCCTCTTTATCTATTTGGGCTCTTGAGGGAGTCAGCCATGATGTGTGGCCCTGCTTGCTGCGAAGTGGGGAAACCAGTTAAAATGGCAGTGAGAGGTGGCCAAGCGGATAAAGAGATTGAGCTAGCACTTTGGAACCTGTCTAGGTTTATGTGGATTGTGGAGGGATTTGAAGGGTTCCTGAAGCTGTATGGGGAAGCATGGAAGATAGCTGATGTGCTGGCTAGTGGCTTTGCCCTGGTGTATTAAGTACATTTTCATGCTGCTGATAAAGACATGCCTGAGAATGGGAAGAAAAATAGGTTTAATGGACTCACAGTTCCATGTGGCTGGGGAGGCCTCATAATCATGGCAGAAGGTGAAAGGCATGTCTCACTTGGCAGCAGACAAGAGTAAAGAGCTTGTGCAGGGGAACTCCCCTTTATAAAACCATCAGATCTCTCGAGACTTACTCACTATCATGAGAATAGCATGGGAAAGACCCACCCCCATGATTCAATTACCTCCCCCCGGGTTCCCCTTACAACACATGCAAATTGCGGGAGTTACAATTCAAGATGGGATTTGGGTGGGGACACAGCCAAACCATATCACATGGTGAGGGTGATTTACCCTGTGGTCAATGAGCAGGGGTCAACTGCTCATTACAAGCTAGACAGGGGTACAGGGAGGATAACGATATCCACAGCAGCCATGAAAGCCAGAGTAGGGGCAGGCTGGGAAGCGAGGGTCATGGGCCCTTTCCGGACCTAGAAATAAACCAAGTGCTTGCCAGCCACAGACTTCTTCAGTGAATTCCTCCCAGAAACCGGGTCAGACTAGCGCTCCTGCACGGGCAACAGTGAGATCCAGAGAACAGCGAGGGCGGTCAGACTCCCTTTCCTTCTCAGGGTGAGGTAAGCTACTTCTCTCCCCTACCTCGTACACTCAGGAGTGAAGACCAGGGAGCAAAACAGTCCTCATAAAGAGATGAGCTTCAAACTAACTGAATAAATAATCCAGAGAAGCACTCTTAAACTGGAAGAGTCTGATAAACCTTTTTTTTTTTTTTTTTTTTTTTTTGAGACGGAGTCTCGCTCTATTACCAGGCTGGAGGGCAGTGGTGCGATCTCAGCTCACTGCACTCTCTGCCTCCAGAGTTCAAGCGATTCTCCTGCCTCTGTCTCCCGAGTAGCTGGGACTACAGGTGTGCACCACCTCGCCTACCTGATTTTTGTATTTTTAGTAGAGACAGGGTTTCACCATGTTGGCCAGGATGGTCTCAATCGCTTGACGTTGTGATATACCCTCCTTGGCCTCCCAAAGTGCTGGGATTACAGGCGTGAGCCACTGTGCCCAGCCTGATAGACTTTTAATTAACTACTTTAATTCTAAGCATGTGTCCCAACCATCTCTCGTATAGTTGAATGCCTAGCCAGAAGGGACAAAATATCAGTAGTAGAAAATTTTTTTTTTCTAAGGAACCTATCAATAGTAATATGCTAGATTTTTTGACGCTTCTACTCTGTTCAAATTTGTCATGCAGTTTTGTTCTAAGCAGTGACTTTCAAATGTTTTGATCATGTCCCTCAGTAAAAAACATATTTTATATCACTACCAAGAACAAATGTTCATACACATATGCCTGAAATAAAACATCATGAAATGAAATCTACCTTTAATTTGTTTGTGATGTGCTTTCTATTTTCTAGTCTTCTAGGTTTGAAAAAATGCCATTTATGTCCCATTAAATTGATTTCATGATCCATCTGATGTGTTGTGACCTACAGCCTGAAACACACTGCCCCAAAGGCCAAATGAAGTGGATAGAACATCTGTCCCTTTGTGATACAGTTCGGGATGCTGTGCTTTCACATCCTTCTGTTTTCATAGCGCCACTGTCCCAAGAACTACAGGCAGCAGCCATTTATTAAAGCTCTCTCCATGATATTTATCTTAGCAGTCAAGGTGCCTTCGGTTATATGTGACCAAAACCCAATCCAAGGCCAGTCACAATGGCTCACACCTGTAATTTCAGCACTTTGCGAAGCCAAGGTGGGAGGATTGCTTGACCCCAGGAGTTTGAGAGTAGCCGGGGCAACATAGTGAGATCATGTCTCTACAAAAAATGTAAAAATTAGCTAGATGTGGTGGCATGTGCCTGTGGTTTCAACTGCTTCGGAGGCTGAGATGGGAGGATCACTTGAGCCTGGGAGGTAGAAGCTGCAGTGAGCCGTGATGGCAAAATTGCACTCTAGCTTGGGTGACCCTGTCTCAAAAAACCAACAAACAAACAAGCAAAAAAAGCCCCCAAAACCCCAATCCAGACTGAATTAAGCTGAAAGTCAGTGTATTGTCTCATGTCATAGGGATGAGCAGCACAGTGCTACCTGCAAGTGCAACTGGGTCCAACATTTTAGGTTTCTCTCTTTTGCTTCTCTTGCCTCTGAGTTGGCCTTATTCTCACTTAGGGCTAGTCTACAAGGCAGGGAGCATGGCTTTGACTCCCCCAAGCACACAGTTCACAATGTAGAAGGAGGAGAAGCCCCACTCAACCCCACTGTCCACATAACACATCTTGTGGACAGATGGGCCCAGAGAGAGAAGGAATTCTGATTGCTTCAGCAAGATCTCAGGCCCAACCCTTGGCCAGGAGTGAAGCACTGATTGACAGTCCCTCTAAGCCAACACAGAATGGGAGAAAGTGGGGTACTTTACGAGAATAAGGCAGAGGAATTATGCTCAGACCAGGAGAAAAATCAGGCAAGATAGATTGGAAAGATAGGTCTTGTATGGGGGATATAAATAATTCTCTTATCAATAAAGTAACCTAAATTTAGAACCAGACAGTAGACCAAGCACGGTGGCTCACATCTGTAATCTCAGAACTTTGGAAGGCCAAGGCAGGCAGATCATTTGAACTCAGGAGTTTGAGACCAGCCTGGGAAATGTGGTAAAACCCTGTAGCCACCAAAAATGTAAAAAATTAGCTGGGCTTGGTGTTGCATGCCTGTAGTCGCAGCTACTTGGTAGGCTGAGGTGGGAGGATTGCTTGAGCCCAGGAGGTTGAGGTTGCAGTGAGCCAAGATGGCACCATTGCACTCCAGTCTGGGTGACGGAGTGAGACCCTTTTTAGGATGAGTGGAGGGGTGTAGCATATAAACTAGAGTTACTCAATCTTGGCAGGGTGCAGTGGCTCACTCCTGTAATCCCAGCACTTTGGGAGGCTGAGGTAGGTAGATCACCTGAGGTCGGGAGTTCGAGACCAGCCTGACCAACATGGAGAAAACCTGTCTCTACTAAACAATACAAAAATTAGCTGGGCATGGTGGTGCATGCCTGTAATCCCAGCTACTTGGGAGGCTGAGGCAGGAGAATCGCTTGAACCTGGGAGGCGGAGGTTGTGGTGAGCTGAGATCACACCATTGCACTCCAGCCTGGGTGACAGAGCAAAGCTCTGTCTTAAAAAAAAAAAAAAAAAAAAAGAGTTACTGAATCTCAGTCTTTGACATGCTGAACTGGAATAGCATTGCAGATAGCTACAACTATGGTTGCTATTCAATTCCAATTCAAGTAGAGAAACCAAGAAAGATGTTAAGAACAAGTTTTCTTTCTGTCTTTGATGACAAAATGTACATTAAAGAAGTACAAAATGAGGGTGATTACAGAATGAGTGGTTGAACAAAATCAGAAGGTGGACATATGAAGCAGAAAGAATCCTCAAAGTACAATTCTGATGATAGGATGAAGGGCACGCCAGGTGGTAGGCGTTTTGAATCATCATTTGCGAAGATAGCACTACTGACCCATTTGCTGTGGGAGGGCATCACGTTGACTTCATTTGCCATACTGCATATCTGATTGTATCTATTACATCCAACTTTTCTGGCTGATGTCCTTGAATAACTCATAGCAGGTGTTTGCAAGCCAGAGTCAAGTGCGCATTCTGTACTCCCGATACAGAGGAAACCTAGTGACCCACAGGAACGAAATCAAGACTTTTGTCTTACTGGCCCTTTAAGTTACCAACAGAGCTAACCAGACCCAGACTACTTGAGAAGGAGAAAAATTAAAATAAAAGATACCTTTGGCAAGCAATTACATAACAGCTTTCAAAAAAAAAAAAAAAGCTGCAAAATTGTAAATTATTTCCACATGATTTACAAACTTTAAAGGTGACTTAAAAATTCTCAAAACATTCTGTTATGGCTGGTAAAGGTGAAAAGGGAAGTAAGAAGACAGAAACAAGACAAGAACCCTCTGTGTTTTCTTTCTTCTCCGTAAAATATTTCCCCCACCAAAAGCACACATGGCCGCTGAGCAGCAACTTACCATTTTTCCAGGGTCAGTTCACTTTTCGTGCTGCTCTAAACCCTGCTGAAAGCCAGCTCCTTGGGGAGCCCCAGGAATGGGGGCTGGCCTCTCTTCAGTCTGCAAGCACTCAGAAGGAAATGCCCCTTGCTGAGAAAGGGGTGGTGTTAGGGGAGAATCCATCTACTGTCAAGGAAGTTTCAATTAAATATGGATGCCAATTAATTTAATTTATATTTCTGCATGAAAAATGTCATTCTATTATACATGCACTGGAAGGATGCCAGGAGCCCATGTTAATAAATTACATCTCTACTGACATAATATGGAATCACAGACTAATCGGATACTTATTAAATGCCCACCTGTGCTTGGGGCTACACCTTGTAGAAATCCAGCTGAAATAAGGTCTGTCCAGTAAGGACTCTCCTTACACTGTGGTCATCTGACACCCACTCTTATCCTCCTCTTCTTCTAGCTTTGAGCATGTCTCAGGAGAACAACTGTAAAAATGAATAATCAACATTCACTTGCCAGTGGTTATGAATGGGCGTATTTAATGAAGAAGGGAATGAATGAAGGGGAACTATAAATAATCTATTCAATTTAATCCGGGACCAGGCCTACTCTGGTTAGCAGGAAACCTTCCATGATTATTTGATTACAGATTCAAATCAGCTGGCGGTGGGTAATAATACTAATACCTACTGGTTATGAAGCGCCAACTCTGTACCACACTCCATGTTTTATTTTGCGTCCCTGCTACATGTTTTATTTTGAATCCTTACAATAATCTTTCAAGGTAAGGATTACTCCTTCCCACACCCCTCATTTTAGAGACACAAAAGCTGAAGTGTAGTACCCTGAAATGACCTTGCTCAAGGTCATGTGATTAGTAAGAGGCACACTTTCCTGTGCTGGTCGATTTTCTTTGCATCATACCTCTGTTCTCTAGGACAAGTGTCACCACTGTCTCCATGGGGGATGGGCTGGTGACTGCCCTATTCTGGCAGTGCTGACACACTGGACAGTTCTTGATGCACTATAGTTACGATTAAATCACCAGGAGATGACTCTGTAATACCCCCTGCCTGGGAATTCATCCTGCTTTCCTCTGCTGCAGTTCTGTATAGTCGTGAAATGGATGTCACTCAGTTGCAACAAGTTCTCGAATAGCCACGCATTGTTTCAGCCAGTTATTTATTCAACATTTACTAAGCACCCACTATGTGCTAGGTCCTAGGATCCAATAAAGAAAAAGGGAGTCAGACTAATGGGGAAGACAGATGCCCTAACACAAAATTGTAATGTGTGTGGTTTAATACTATGGAATTGCTAAGGAAAAACATTCCTTTTGTTGTTTATTCAATCAATCTCTTATACCTTCTACCACCATTTACAGAGTCTCTATGACATACTGGACAACAGGCCCATTCTCACATTTTCAAGCCAGGGCAGGAAAAGACATGAAAGTCACCAGCCTGAGTCTGTGCCTCTGACTTCCTCTTTCTTCCCATACCTGACTTCCTCTTGCACTGCAAGGGACCTCCCATATATGTGTCTGGGCATCCCAGCCTATGTGTACAAATGTTGAAACACCTCCCGCTAGAACCTCTTAAAATCAGGAAGAGGCTTCTGTGCAGCCTAGAAACAACTTTTGGCCTCTTTGAGTAGGGAGTGCTGGGATCCAGGACCCAGAGAGTGGTACAAAAAAGGGAGGGAATGGGCTTTGGGTGGGCACCACCCTCTGGGTCTATTCACTCTTTCGGCTGCAGACAGGGCAGAGGAAGGCCAGAGGGCCTCAGGATATTGTCCTCAATGCAGCCACTGGGCTGGAAACTCAATAGAAATGCAGAATCACAGGCCCACTGCAGACTTTGAGAGTCAGGTCTGCTTTTTTTTTTTTTTTTTTTTTTTGAGATGGACTCTAGCTCTGTCACCCAGGCTGGAGTGCAGTGGCGCGATATTGGCTCACTGCAACCTCTGCCTCTCGGGTTCGAGCGATTCTCCTGCCTCAACCTCCCAACTAGCTGAGGTTACAGGCACACGCCAGTTAATTTTTGTGTTTTTAGTAGAGATGAGGTTTCACTATGTTAGCCAGGCTGGTCTCGAACTCCTGACCTCAAGCGATCCGCCCGCCTTGGCCTCCCAAAGTGCTGGGATTACAGACGTGAGCCACTGTGCCCAGCCAGGTCTGCATTTTAACAAGATTCCCAGGTATTTCATGGCCTTTGGAGAAACACTGCTGAAAGGGCCCTAGCTCAATCCCCTCTCGGTAAATGAAGAGACTGAGGCTGCCTGAAACACAAGGCAGGAAGAGGGGCCTGGCCTGGGGCTGGGTTGCCCGGTCCGAAAGTGTCCTTCTGGGCACCTTGCTATTCTCTAGGGTAAACATGCACCACGACAAATTTCAGAGAAAATTCTAGTAACTCAGATTGAGAGGAGCCTGGAGTAAGAGATTTACAACAAGTGATCCAAGGAAGAGAATTCCATGAAGTCATGGACAAGGTAATTAAAGGAAAATTAAAGTGTTTTCTTCAGAATTAAAGGAAAGTGATAACAAGTCAGTCCACAAGCGAACTTGAGGGAGGGTTGAGGAACTCTTGGTTTTCATTTTGTTTCTGAGGCCAATGCAAATGAGCTGGAGGAGACTTCCATAATCCAGTGAATTGTCCTTTTTTGTTTTTGCTTTTGTTTTCTGCATTCCTTTAGCCTCCCTCGTTTTTCCTCAGTATATTTTAGTTCCCATACCTTTCTGATCCATGTGGCCCTTCACTCCCCTGCTTTTGGTTTCCTCAAATCATTCACTCTGCTCCAAAGAATATAAAAAAGATAAGTCAACAGAACATTTTTTTTTTTTTTTTTTTTTTTGAGACACGGCCTTACTGTTGATCCAAGCTGGAGTGCAGTGGTGCCACCGCTGCTCACTGCAGCTGCCACTTCTTGGGCTCAAGTGAGCCTCCCACCTCAGCTGCCTGAGTAGCTGGGCCTACAGACATGTGCCACCCTGACCAGCTAATTATATTTTTATTTGTAGAGATAGGGTCTCACCATGTTGCCCAGGCTGGTCTTGAACTCCTGAGCTGAAGCGATCCTCCCTCCTCGCCCTCCCAAAGTGCTGGGATTATAGGCATAACCCACCATGTCTGGCCAGAACAAAGTTTAAAAATATGGTCAGCAAATATTTCCTAAGACTATTAAGTGCACTGACCAGGCGCAGTGGCTCATGCGTGTAATCCCAGCATTTTGGGAGGCCGAGGGGGGCGGATCACCTGGGGTCAGGAGATCAAGACCAGCCTGGTCAACATGGTGAAACCCCCTCTCTACTAAAAAATACAAAAATTAGCTGGGTATGGTGGTGGGCGCCTGTCGTCCCAGTTACTTGGGAGGCTGAGGCAGGAGAATTGCTTGAACCCGGGAAGTGGAGGTTGCAGTGCACTCCAGCCTGGGTGACAGAGCGAGATTCTATCTGGAAAAAAAAAAAAGAAAGAAAGAAAAAAAGAAGAAAAAAAAGAGTTGCATTTCGATTTTATAAGTTCCCTTCAGCCAGCTACAGTTATCAACATGTTGCCAGTTGTGTTTCAGTTCCGCCTAGCCCATCTTCTCATCTCTATTGCTCACCTATCTTTTCTTTTTCCTCCTGCCCTCCCTCTTTTCTTTTCCTTTCTTTCTCCCTTTCTCTTCTCTCTTTCTTTCTCCCTTTCTCTTCTCTCTTTCTTTCTTTCTTTCTTGCTGGTGTTTATTAAAGCATATTCCAGACATCATGTCATTTAACTCACTTCCTACAGAGTTTCCTTGAGGCAGGGCCACAAGAGAATGTAAGCTGGGGAAATGATCTCTTCTGATTATGTTCTTGACCAAAATATGGAATTTGTGTTACTGAGATAAGAAATAATAAAGAATTTCCAAAACCTCTTCATAATACCCCAGATATTGTGGACTTCATTTTCTATCCCTATGTCTTCCCCCTAGAGTCTTTCAGGGGTGTCTATGAGAACTTTTTCATCTTCCTTTACTATTAAACTAGTAACAGAATAACAGAAACTTTGGATGGTTATACATCTAAAAAGAGGCAAATATGCTCTTTCTGTTGGTGAAGAGGATTCTCAGGGCATAAGTTTTGAAGTTAAAATTTGACAATGGAAAGTCTGCAGAGATCTTCTATGACAAGAAACCAAACATATCACTGCCTCCCCACAACCCCTCGCCCAGGCAAACTCCTGGAGCTGATTGTTGTAATGGTTTTAAAGGCGCTTAGGACCAGGACCTAGATCTGAAGCATAGTGCACAGTTGTTTACTGTTCACACAAGTCAGATCTATGAAGGATCAAGTAATTTGGAGGTTTGGTTACTTTCCATTAGTAAATATCATCCAACTAAATTTGGGTAAAATGCCCTCTAAATAAGTCAAGTAGACAGGAGCTTTGAATGAGGGAATTAATTATAGCTGGTGTCTTAAGGAAAAGAATCCCACTGTGGCACGGAGAATGTAATTAATAGGAGGTAAGTGCCAACAAATCACTCCTTAAAATATTAATGCTATCAAAGAACAGCTGGATAATGAGAGAAACTTGACCCTTGGGGGACTAGCAAAGGTTGCTGCTGCTGCAGAACTTTATGCAGTTATGACGTAATGAAATTCCTCTAAATTTTAACAAAAACTAATATTAAAAGGTGTGGTTCTGGGAAAGTTATTAGCAGTAAACATGTCATAATTTTTAGCATCTTATTATAATCATTATGTCTCATTTTTGCTGTGTTTCTAAGTGACATTTTCCTGTAATTGCTCAGGATATATACACAATTGAAACAACACTCCTAAAAAAACTAGATTTAAAAAAAAGGTTAAGCCTGACAAGAACTTTTTTTTTGTAAATAAAACACCCAATATCTAAGAAATTTCTGCAAAACAATTTCCCATATGCTTAAACTATTTAACGAAACCAAGAAAAAACCTGTTTCATTGTTTGTTATTGAAAGCTCCAACTTAATTTGTTTTTACTTAATAGCTTTGTATTGTCCTAAGAAATATGTAATTCCAAGAGAGCAATAAAGTTAAATATTTACACAGTCCCACTTAACGTGTGAAATGTTAGACATGTATTTTCAACAGCC